AAAAAAAGCATGAAATATTTGACTCATAATATTATTTCATTAGGTTTCTTGTACTTCCTCTTTTAAAACTAAACATTCCTGTGACATTGACAACTCTTAAGTGGCTCATCAATTTATTGTTTTCGGTCATACATACATACTATATGTATATATCAGATAGAAGACACAAAAGGACAAATTAAAAAGGACTAGATAAACACGGAGTAAACCTTTACAGTGATATTGGTTTAAATTTGGCTCAATGGTTCAAAATGTTTTGCTTATTAAAAAATTAATATTTAGTTAGAACAGTGAATTACTGTGAGTCATTGACTTTTTGGGGGGTGATGGGAGGTGATGGATAGGTTTATTACTGTGATTGCGGGCATGGTATAGCGAGTGTTTGAATTATGTCCAAATTTCTAAAATTGTATACATGAAGTATGTGCAGGTTTTTGTATACTGATTATACTTCGGTAAAGCTGTAAAAATGAAAATCAGTGCTGCACTTCTGAGCAGCTCAAGCCTGGCTGCATCTTTTCTTGGTTCCCAGGGATGAATCCAGAGCCACAGTAGACTCTGACTTTGTGTTTCTTTAGTATTTTCCCCTTTGTCTAATTTTGTGTTTTTCTTCGTTTTTTGTTTGTTTATAACTAAGCTGTTCCCCCTCATTGGTAGCAGCGGTGATCAGGGGTTTGCCTTTATGGTTTGATCACTTGACCTCTGTTAGGGGATTAATGTTTCTAGATATCTACTTTGTTGAATTAGAGACTGTTAACAGAGAATTAGGTTAGTCTTTTTTAATCTTTTCTATTTGTCTATTTGTCTACTTTGAGTTCCAGTCAATTAAGACTTCCTTCCACACTGGGAGAAGATGGGCTCTTTAACCTCTAGACTGGTCTGTGTTAACTCTTGGCCCATGTCTGAGACTTTAGAATTGGAGTTGTAAGTGCTATTTCTCTGTATGTATGTCTGTCTGTAATTCAGAAAGTTCTTTACCTTTACAAATTAAAAAGGATTAAATAATTTTTGAAGTAATATTTTATTAATGGTTCAGAACTTTTTTGCTCATTAAACATTAACATTTGGTTAGAAGAGTAATTAGCTCTGAGTCATTAATTTTTTAGATCTTGATATACCACTAAAGAAAATAGTAACCATGCTAGTTATTTCAGACGAAATTTAATAGAATTGGTTAAGTAGGTGTCAGAAGACCAAAGAAGCAAAAGGAGACATTGAGGGAGAGGAAGCCAGGAAGAGGTTGCTGTTGTCAGAACGTGGACATTCAGAGAACGGGCTTCCCAGAGCCACTGGCGGTTCTTCCAGGGAGTTGCAGTGAAGCTTGTTCTGTCTACACCAGCCGAAAAGAAAAACTGGAGACTGGAACCAGCTGGCAGGGCAGTGCTGGTGCAGATAGCAAGCAAACGAGGAGGAAGTCCTTTCTCATTCCTCCTTCCTTTCTCCTTCCATTCTCTTCAGGTAACTACTGCTGGTAGTGGAAGCTAACCGGCAACCAGCTAAGGAAAGAAAATTGTAGTTTTAGAGTTCCAGTCTGGCACTGTGAAGATTGAGTGTAGAGTTGAAAGACAGTAGTTTAGGGACACTTGGGTGGCTCAGTCGGTTAAGTTTCCAACTCTTGATTGGGTCTCAGGTCATGCTCTCAGGGTTGAGCACCCCACATTGAGGTCCCCACATTGGGCTCTGCATTCAGCTGAGAGTCTGATTGTCCCTCTCCCCGTTCCTCCCCCAGCCTGTGCTCATGCACTGTCTCTCAAATAAAATCTTAACAAAAGACAGTAGTTTAGTGACACACTTACTATTATTATTCTTACTAATTATTATTATTGAAACAGAGGTTCAAAGAACTGATCCTGGGCTCAGTTAATTAAAAAATTTAAAATTTTGATGCCTGAAGAGTCATTAGCTGAAAAAAAGAAACTTATAGTAACCAAAAAGAATACCTCTGAGAGGCATGATGGAGAGCAGGACGAATGAACTTCTGTAAAAGGTCAGATGTTAAACACTTTAGGCTTCGCAGGTCATAAGGTCTCTGTCTTAAGTACTTTTTGTTGCTTTTGTAGCACAGAGGTAGCCTTAGACAATATGTAAACAAATGAGTGTGGCTGTTCCAGTAAAACTTACTTACAGAAGCAGGCAGTGGACTGGATTCGTCAGAGTCCGAATAGTTCGTAGACTCCTGATGTACAATATTCACTTACTGTGAGGTTGGTCAGTGATAGGCCATATGCATTCATGTTTGGAATAACCTTAATACTTTTTAATTTGGGAGACCATCTTCTTTAGATCTGATGAATTTTGTAAGAACTTCATCCTAGCTAAAGAATGCCTGTAAGAGGAACAGGGGAAGTGTTAGCTCTGCCATGCGCTTGTTCAGTTGTGATTGCATTATTAGTATTATTTTAATAACATTGTTTCTTTATAGGAATCTTTTTAAGCTGCTTATTTTATTAAGCTCTAGTAGCTACAAATTAATACAGTTGCACAACAGTGTGCATGTACTTACTGCTGCTGGGCTTCCTGTTATGTATATTTTACCATGATGAAAAGGAATTGATGTTACATCCACTTGCATGGACGTCACTCTTTCCTCTGATACCTTGAATACTGGCAGTGATGAGCTGGCATGAAACCTCATAAGGGTGCCATTTTCTGTCCATACATTAAATTCATAAATCTTAATTTTCCTACTCTTTTTAGTTAAAAACTAAAGAGAAGTCAGCGTCTTTTCCCTGCATCCTGGTGGATCATCTTTTACGCTCCTGGGTTTGCACACACCCACTGGAGAGAGACCACTGGGCTAGAGACTGTTTTCTAATAAGATGCCTTGATTTCGTATTGAGGCAGAACATTCAGCCTATGCACTGGACTTTTTTTCTGGTTGTTCCCCTCCCTGCTTATATTGCTGATGGTTTTATCCTGACCTATGTTTTCCTGCCTGTTCTCCCATTCCTAATTCAGTTCTGCTTTCTCATCCACATTTCTAGGATACTTGATATAAAGTTATAGTATAATTCTTACCATGTTGTATTTCAGTTATTAGCTGATATAGCTCTCCTCCTTCCTTTTTGAGTAGCATGTCTTGGTTTATCCAGCATATTCCTAGCACCTAGCTGTGGCACACAGCATGCTTTCACTAAATGTTTTTGTCAGATTTTTGGAACTAGAACTTAACCCAGATTTTGACAAGCTTGTCATTGTTTCATAATTCAGGCTGTTTCTGGTGGCTCAGCTAGATTTTCCTCTACTTTATAATTTTGGCCAGCCTTAGTTTTTTTCAGAGGTCTAAATCTCATCCTCTAGCTCAGCCCTTTTCTATACCAATATTTGACATTAGGAAGACTGGGATGCGAGTTCTATTTACATGGTACACATCTTTCTTTTTTACTTTCTTTCTTTCTTCCTTTCTCCTCCTCCTCCTCCTCCTCCTCCTCCTCCTCCTCCTCCTCCTCCTCCTCCTCCTCTTCTTCTTCTTCTTCTTCTTCTTCTTCTTCTTCTTCTTCTTCTATTTAAGATTTTATTTATTTGACAGAGTGTAAGCAGTGGGAACAGCAGGTAGAGGGAGAAGCAGACTCCCTGCCTGAGCAGAGAGCCCAATGCGGGACTTGATCCCAGGACCCTGGGATCCTGACCTGAGCCAAAGGCAGATGCTTAACCAGCTAAGCCACCCAGGTGTCCAGTACACATCTTTCAGAATAGTTATTGTAATTAATTTTGTCAATGTTGATGAATTTGTTAAATATTTATTGACTGCTCACTATGTGCTAGGAACTGTGCTGGGGATATAACAGTGAGTATTTTACATACAAGGAGATTGAAAGGTTGAATGACAGGTGTAAGAAAATGTGGTAATGAGAACTGCAGCTAGATCCTAGGTCTCCTGGCTGGTCTCTAGGGCAGAAGGGAGTTGCTGTGAGAAGCTACTATAGTGTAGTTGGAATGATATGAGTGTGGGGGTGAGGGGGTTTGCTCGTGATCATTCTAACCTCTAACCTTAATAATTGAGGAGCTCAGTCTTTCAAAAGGAAGCACATTACATTTATTTAAATCATATTGGAGGTTCCATTTGACCTACCAGTAACCTGGTCTACCCTTTCAGGGTGGTCGTATTGGGTCAGAGCATAAAGTCAGTTCAGGGTTCTCTGGGAATGGATGGTTTGTAGAGTTCTGTGGGGTGGTCTGTCTTGGCTGCCAGAAGACTCGTTAACTGATGTGTGGTGGCCATGTGGAGGGTAGCTGCTTTTGGTGCTGGTGTGCATCTTGGTGTGGTCACGACAGAATCAGGTCAGTGTGGTCCTCGTCATATTTGATGGTTCAGAAATTGCTTACCGACAAGTGTTAAGTTCTGAGAAGAGAGATCACATGAACTAAGAGATCTAAAAACAGGTTTATAAATCAAAATACCAACTTAGAGTGATAGATATATGCTTGGCTCAAGATCTGGAATCTCTTTAAACCAGAGATTGTCTCCGGCTGGTGTCTAGGCTGAGATCAAATTAAAAATCAGAAGGTTGCTTGCTTGGTAAGCAGAGAATTAGGAGTTAGTTGAGTATTCTCTTCCTTTGAGCTTCAGGTTATGAGGAGTTGGCCTTATTTTACAGTGAGGGGGTGGGTATTTCTCTGTTCACTGCTGCTAGACAGTCAAGATCAAACCATCCAGACTTGTGGGAAGCTGCTGTACTCTTGCCCTTCCACTTTTTTGTTATTCAGTTGCCAAAAAAGCCTCTGTCATTACTAATTTCCTTATGAAGGATAGAACTGGTAAGATTTCCAGGAGTTGTACTTATTTTATCTTCACTGTTACTTGATTAATATATGAAATCTATTATTCCATGAGATTTGTGGTAGTTTGTGCTACTTAATATGATCTAGTATAATATGATCTAATATAATCATCTTCACTTTGATTCCTTTAACACTTTCCATAAAAGACTAATGTATTTTCCATTTCTACTGAGTGCTTCCTGTGGGCACATTTACCTTAGTCCCTGTCTTTTCTCTAGGGTCATCTAGTAGCAGACACCCAAATCAGGCAACTCCAAAGAAAAGTGGCTTAAAGAATGGCCAAATGAAGAATAAAGATGACGAGTGCTTTGGGGATGATATTGAAGAGATCCCAGACACAGATTTTGATTTTGAAGGGAATCTGGCCCTCTTTGACAAGGCAGCTGTGTTCGAGGAGATTGATACCTATGAGAGGAGAAGCGGTACCCGTTCCCGGGGCATCCCAAACGAAAGGCCAACTCGGTACCGCCATGATGAGAACATCCTGGAGTCAGAGCCCATTGTCTATCGGCGGATCACAGTGCCCCACAACGTGAGCAAGGAGTTCTGCACGGGTGAGTTGTACCAGCCCATCTCACTGGTTCTCTCTGCTTTCTGTTAATGCTTGAAAGAGAATGACCTAAATTCTGAATCGGAGTGTTGCGGTAGGAATTCACTAAACTCACTAAAGTGGCTTTGTGGTTGGCTATTATTATTGTCTCTTGGGAATTGTGGTTACTATGGCATCCTAGCTACCACGGGGATGTGGGGGTGTGGCGTAGGGGGCTGATTTCATGTCTGTTTGTATCTCATATCTGACAGGTTCTGGTCTGCTCTTTATTTAGTGTGTCATGATTAGCAATGAAAGGCAAAGGAGCCATCTGCCTAGAGTCACATAATCAGATCTTTGGCTTTTCACTGTGGCTTGCCTGTTACGACCTGTACATTTCACCAGAAGTTTCTAGTTGTTCGTTGGGGTAAAAAACAGAGATGGACGGTTGAAACCACTGGCTAAAATTGGGGTTTCCATAAATTGTTTACTACAGTGTCCTCATCTTCTCCTGTCCCTGAGAGGGTTTGGCTAGTCCCATTTCTCACATAACAAAGTAGTGCCTTGGTATTTCCGTCGGCCATTGTATAGGATAGTCTAGTCTATTACCTCAGTGGTTTTTAAGCTTCTTTTTTTAACATTAGGATCTTTTCTTCAAACATGGCATTAGAGGGGCACCTGGGTGGCTAGGTCAATGAAGCATCTACCCTGGGCTCAGGTCATGATCCCAGTGTCCGGGGATGGAGCCCCGCCTTGGGCTCCCTGCTCAGTGGGGAGTCTCCTTCTTTCTCTGACCCTCCCCCCTCTCATGCGCACTCTTTTTCTCACACTCTCTCTCACTCTCTGTCTCTCAAATAAAATCTTAAAAAACAAAAAACCCATGCACAAAAAAAGACATGGCATTAGAGGCAGATAAAACCAGCTATGGGGGGGCACCTGGGTGGCTCAGTGGGTTAAAGCCTCTGTCTTTGGCTCAGGTCATGATCCCAGGGTCCTGGGATCGAGCCCCGCATTGGGCTCTCTGCTCAGCAGGGAGCCTGCTTCCCCCGCCCCCCACCTCTGCCTGCCTCTCTGCCTACTTGTGATCTCTGTCTGTCAAATAAATAAAATCTTAAAAAAAAAACAAAACAGCTATGGGAGAGGTGGCCTACCTCATCCTTGTCCCTGTCCTTTCCCACTAAACCACATTATTACCTGAGCTGCTTCAAATACAGTTTGAAAACAATTCTTACTGAACGATCTTAAAGAGCTGAAGGAGGAATCGTAATCATTTTAATTAAGTAGAAAGGAACTAAGTACAATATTCGTTTTGGTTTGAGGGTTTGAATATAGGGAATATAAATTTAGAACAGTAGTAGCAGTTATAGAAAGTGTTATGGAGATGGCTTAATTACATTTGGAAGAAAATCAGATATGGTGTGGCTTTTTTATAGGCAGCAGTAAGGCTGTTCTGTATTTAGTTTGCTGAATATAGAAGTTTGCACGTGCTTTCCATGTGGAAAAAAAATAAGACTGTCAGGCTAAGAGTACCAAATTATTTTTCCATCGTTCACTGGGGGACTCGTGGGGATACCTCTTTACCAAGGTAGTTTCCCTAAGTGGCACTGACAGTGTGACTTCCTCTGATTTTTACCACCTGTGTGTAGGCAAACAGCCCGACTCAGAGTCAGGCTTCATTTCAGTTGCCAGGTGTTTAGCTTTTCAGAGGCATCCATTGTCCAGCAGGTCTGGTAGCACACTCAGTTCCTGTCATTCATTTGCCCCACAGCTCCCCTCTTTTACTATACTCATTTGCAAAATAAGCTGCTTCTGCGGGAGCTCTTGAGCTGAGGTGGTCCAGTATGCAGCAGTCGTTTCCCTGAAATTCCTCAACTTGGGGAGATACAGCCTGCCTTGGATGTGGCTACAGGGAAGGAAAGAGAAGAGAAGAGAAGAGTAGACTCAAGAAAGAGTCTCAGATCTAAAAGAGCCCGGAGAAAACATTGCTAAAGTAGACAAAGGGGAGGGTGGGAATTTTTTCCTACTACACACTCCACCTCCCCAACTTTTCACACCTTGTTTAATTTAACGACATAAGTAAAAAGTCCCCTTCTCTCGCATGAAACCATTTTTCCAGAATTGCCATTAACAAGCGTACAGCAGACCGCATGAGCTGGTCCTCAGCCAAGCATTCAGGTACGGCGGCTTGTGTGCTGGTGACCAGTTGCACTTCATTGAGGCATGACAGGGGATGGGAGGCCCTGCAGCTTCATGCCATCTGGTTTTCCTCTTTGTCCGCAGAAGTGGTAGGAGTGCAGATGAAGCCCTTTTTCCAAGCAGGGTCTGTGCTGGAAATAGAGCAAGTAATCCGTTGCCTTGCTGAGTAACTTCTCCTACATCGTTTTTATCTCTGCTCCAGCAACAAGACACAAGCCTCAAAGTCGGTTTCTACTCCTACCTAGAGAGTGTCTGGCTGGGGACACTTTTCCACTTGGATCTTCTATGCAGATGTTACAGTCAGAGTAAGGCAAACTATCTAGAATACGGGGGGAAACAACCTAAGACCATCAAATGTTAGTGTTAGGTTACTCGATCACTTAGTATGATTTTTCTCGTTCTGCAGATGAGGACATTGAAGCCCAGAGAGATAATGACTCTCACAAACCTTCTTTATCACATTTCCTTCCACCTTCGGAAGGTGGCTAAGTTGAAGAGGAGGAAGGACGTAGGATCAGAGGAGAAGGATAGTGTAATGGCACAACAGACCACAGTCATTTCTCTTTAGTGTCCTCAGAAACGGATCAGCTTAGATCAGCACTTGTGGAGGCTAGCTTGGATAGCTTCCCAGCTTGCTTTTTGGCATTCATGTCCTAGAACCCCAAAACCTTATTTTCTCCTAATCCCCAGGGTAGCAAAAGAACAACATGTTTACTACCCATGTGGTGTGATGGCTTGGGTCTCAGGATTCTGACAGCTTGCTGCTGCTATCCAGCACGTCGACTGCATGCTAAGTGGTGTCAACAGTTTCTAAGCCAATATGCTGTAATTGCTCACACTCCTCTTGGCAGTACTCTACCAACTTTGTGTGTGTGTGTGTGTGTGTGTTATGGGGGCAGTCTTATAAAAGGTCTTTTGATTGGGAAAACACATTCAGGAAGCAACTAAATTCAGCTCTTTGTTTAACACAAATCTTTTCTCTCTGGAAAGCCTTTTTGAGTCCTTTGACAGTGCTGCTGTCTCCAACAATTGTGGATTGTCAGACATTCCTCCAGCTTGGATTTAGCCTGCTGAATAATATCCAGTGGTCACATACTTGTTTATTAAGTTTGGCTGTAAAATGTGAGATGTGTGTGAGCACTCCATTCAGTGGGTAAGAGCTTCTCAAAGAACACTGGTTAGGAGAGAGGTAAGGCTTCAAAGAAGAATCTTTGTTCAACATTCATATTCTTCTAAAACAAATAGGTTAGTCTAAATACTGTTGCTTATTTTGTGTAAGTCACTCTAAGATCTTGTATTTGTTATTCAGGTGTATTAGGAAGGGGTGCCTGGGTGACTCAGGTAAGCATCTGAGTCTTGATTTTGGCTCTGATCTTAGGATTGAGCCTTACATGGCGCTCTGTGCTCAGCGGGGCATCTGCTTGAGGACCCCCCCACCGCCTGCCATGCGCATGTGCACAGGTGCGCTCTCTCTCAAATAAATAATTTTTTTTTTAAAGTCTTAAAAAGATGTATTAGGAAGCGGCATATATGTACCATATATGCCTGGAGTCCAGTGAGTGTGAACATTATTTGCACTGAATGTTGAGAGGCAGAAGAGGTCCTGAAGGCTGGACTGATCAGGAACGGCTTCACAAAGGGAGCAGGACAGAAGCCTTGAAGCATGGGCAGGATTTCACCAGACAGAGAGGAAGAGGGAATATGTGGATAGGCTGGTAGGTGCTGGTGAATAGTGAGAGTAAAGGGCCTTGTGGGAAATTGGCCATCAGCCGGTTTGGCCAGGCTAGAGTGTTTGTTTGGGGGAGTAGCAGGAATTAAATAAGCTTTGGACCACAAGAACGCAGAGCCTTGTGTGTGTATGTTATCCTTGTCCTGTGCCATAGGGAACAACTGAAGAATTCTGAAAATGACATGATCCCAATCTCATTTAGGAAGACTTAGAGACTTTTTTTTTTTTTAATAAAGATTCTATCTATGCATTTGACAGAAAGAGAAAAAAAACACAAGAAAGGGGAGTGGCAGGCAGAGTGAGGGAGAAGCAGCCTGATGTAGGGCTTGATCCCAGGATCCTGGGATCACGACCTGAGCCGAAGGCAGACACTTAACCGACTGAGCCACCCAAGTGCCCCAGGAAGATTTAGAGTCTCTCTCTCTTTTTTTTAAATTAACATATAATGTATTATTTGCTTCAGGGGTACAGGTCTGTGAATCATCAGTCTTACACAATTCACAGCGCTCACCATATCACAGACCCTCCACAATGTCCATCACCCAGCCATCCTGTCCCTCCCCGCCCCAGATTTAGAGTCTTGAGGAAGACTGGCCTCATGATAGATTTCAGGGTGGAATGAGAGGAGAGAGACCGGAGTAGGAAGACTAGGTTCATGACGTAACTAATGTACCAGAGGTTTGGACTGCTGAATGGAAAGGAAGAAAAGGTGTTGAAGGAAATGACAAAGGGAATTGATAGTTGAGAGCAGTTGGAAAAGGGTTGAGTGAGCGGAGGACTCAAAGGCATTGAACCTGTGGGGCAGGAAGAATGGCGGTGAGAGTCTGGTTGTCATTAGATTGCCTGAGTCTGTAGTGGGCCAAGTCTGCATGGTTTTGTGATTTCCCTCCTGTGGTGCTCTGCGGTTAAGCTCGGAGAAAGCAAATAGTAGAGTTACCACACTGAGAGAGAGGTCAGGGAGCTATTAAAAGGTTCAATGAGGAAGCTTCTGTAGAATCAGAGAATGGAGTTATATATATAGCCAAATGAGGGCTACTGAGCCTGTTTCCTTATCTGTAAAGTGGGATAAAATTGTAAATTAAATGAGATCATGTGGAAAA